AAAAAAAAAAAAAAAAAAAAAAAAAAAGAAAGAAAGAAAAATTGCGAACGAACAATTTTTCCCCCCAATTGTGTTGTGAAGCTCGAGCAAGCTGCAGCTTTTCTTCCTTTTTTCTTCTTCTTTTGTCCAAAAAGAAGATCGCCGAGATCTTTCCAGAGACGTCGATACTCGACACGGTTGCCGCCGAAATGTATATTATTACGTATTATTAGTTTCTTTCACGTTGTATCACCACGTTACGTACTCCTCCTCAGCCTCCTTCCATTTTCGTTCAACTAAAACGTCTTTCGTTCTCCAATCACGATCACGATCTGTACTCTACTTTCTCCAACTCGATTTTCTTTTTTTTTTTTTCGATACTTACCTCTTCCTTCCAATTTTTTTTTTTTTTCTTGCCTCTCTCTCTCCTCTCTTTCCATTCCTTTTCTTTTCTTTTCGAACGTTTCTCTTCCTCCGTCTTTTCTTCTTTTTTTTTTCTTTTCTTTTCTTTTTCACGACTTGTTTGTTTGTTTGTTTGTTTCCAACTTTCTTTCTTTCTTTCTCTCACTGTCCCGTCGATCGTGTCGCGTCCTACCACCATTTCATTGTTTGTCGCTTTTGTGTTCGTCCAGTTTTTCTATACATTACTCCTTGTATGATGTTCAAGCCGTTCTCGTAGCGTTGTAGTGAGTAGTACACTGTGAGGCAGAATTCTTGTTTTTCAACATTCACCAACAGAAAAGAAAAAAAGAAAGAAAAAAGAAAAAAAAAAAAAGAAAGAACACCACTGTTTCTATTTCTCTCTTTCTAGCAGCCTATCGCAGCCTATCCAGGTGCAAAGAACTAGTTGCAATACACCAATCACCCGTTTCGGTGCCTAGGTCTCGTAAAATGAGTCGCAAGATGTTTCCGCAGCCACACGTGACCGCTCCATTTCTATCTGTTTCTGAGAACGTGCAATCATGCCTCTTTAACCAACTTACTTTCGAATCTGTTCCGTTAGGTTCGGGGAAACTAACCGATTATCAAAAAAAAAAAAAAAAAGAAAAAACCAATTGTGCCTCCCTCACGTGTGTGTGTGATGAGATCCGCTCGATACCGAAAGTAAAATTTCAAAAAAAAAAAAAAACAAAAAGAAAAAAGCCACACGGAAGCAAAATGAAAGTGGTGAAATGGAGCGTGATCGCGGTCTTGTAAATAAGAAGTAGTAGTTGAAGTGACATGTCTTTTATGAATGACACGTACACCACTCTGCTGACAAGCTGTGCTGCACGAACCCCGGCTATCAAAACCCTCGCTGCTGTTTTGCTGCCCCACACAAAAAAAAATATATATATAAACGCTACACTGAGAGTTGTCGAGATAACGATTTTCGAAACAAAAAAGAAATTAAATAAAATAAAATAAAATAATAGTAAAGTAAAGTGTAAAAATACGCACACGCGCGCATGTTTTTTTTTTTTTGTTTTTTTTTTCTTTAAGGAAAGGAAGGAGATTCGCAATAGGTCGGATGGGTGGTCACATTGAAATCATTCGACACAGATTTCTCCGATAATATTTCATCGACTCCAGATTTGCCCGACAATAGTTTTAGCCGACGACAGTATTAACCGACAATGATACTTACCGATGACATTATTACGATATTTGTTCATCATTGTTTTTCTAGTGATAGTTTAGGTTAGGTTTAGTTATATTTTATTTTTAGTTGATAATATAACTTCTGTAATAAAAGAACCATCATGGTCGAGACATTTTTGTATAATTAACTATTTTATATATTTGTTCATCATTGTTTTTCTAATGATAACGCAAGGTTTAAGTTTAATTAGGTTTAGTTATATTTTTAGATTGGGTTTAGTTATATTTTTAGGTTAGGTTTAGTTATATTTTTAGGTTGAGTTTAGTTATATTTAGTTATATATTTTATTTACACTTGATAATATATATTCTGCAATAATAGAACCATCATTTTCTGGATATGGTCGAGACATTTCTGTATAATTAACTATTTTATATATTTGTTCATCATTGTTTTTCTAGTGCTAACGCAAGGTTTAGGTTAGGTTTAGTTACATTTTTATAGAGTTTAGTTGTATATTTTATTTACACTTGATAATATACATAACCAATAACAGAACCAATCATTTTCTTTATAGGGTCGAGACATTTTTGCATAATCAACTATTTTCACTAACAATAAAAATGATTATAACTCTATTCAATAGACTAGAAGCAATAAAGACCATAGCCGAGCGCAAAACTGTGGCGATATGTAATTGTCTAATGTTGTTGTTGATAAAAACTATTGTCGGGCAAAGTCGCTGTCGTACAAATCTGAGGTCGATGAAACATTGTCGGTGAAAACAGTGTCGGAGAAATCTGCGTCGATGATTTCAATTGGACCCAGGTCGGATTCGTACGTTTCGGATTTGCTGAATGATGTGTGGGCCGAGAAACGAGATGGGATACTTCGCGCGTTCGCGTAACTTTCGGACGAAACGAACGAACTTTTTCAAACTCGACGAAGAGACGCACGTTGGCGACAAATCGCGAAATCGTGGCCAAAGGTTTTTTGAAAGCAACAGCATTATTCAAAAATGCTTGGACCAAAGATTAAAATTTCGATCTCTTTGGCCACGAATTCTCAAAAACTCGCCCATTCGCGGTGGTTGGCTCTAGAGACAAATTCGACGTCGAAAGCTCGAACGTTCGCGAACGTGTTTAAAATTGTCCACGATCCGAGGAGACAGAGAACGAATGAAAACGGAAAAAAGAAAAGAAAAAAAAGAAAAAAGAAAAAGGAAGAAGAACGAGGAAAATGTCAGAGAAACTGGCGGGGACAAACGCACGCATAGAAGGGAAAAGACGAAAGAAAGAAAAAAAAAAGGGAAGTGCGATAATAAAGAGAAACGGGAGAACGCGAGAAAGACATTTTCAGCAACGTCGCGCGGAAGACCAGCAGCCACACCCGGAACACAATGGAAGGAAAGTCTCACGTGGATGATTGCGGCAGACCAGCTTGTTGGCAGGGAAGTCTCATTCTCTAAAAAGTGGTTTTCAATTTCCCAAGGGTGCATAGCGCGTACCGACGAAGGAACTGACCCGAAAATTTGCCTCGAACTCGCTCTACCGGACCGCGTATGCGCGCCATTTTGACCACGGCATCTCCACCAAGATGGCGAACATTCGCCCCTGATATTCTATTCAGTATCGGGAAACGAAAATTTTTCGGCCAGTACTGTCCTTTTTATTCGAGAGCAAGAGAAATAGCGTGCGGTGACAAGTTGTAGCGACCGTTACCTCTTTAAAATTAACATCAACGCCGTCTACACAATCGTTCTGTCGAATAATACGTTTCCTGTTAAATTGACATTTGAATAACATTAGAATATTTGTAAATTGATATTTTATTTTTATTATTACTACAGTGATGTATATATAGACTCAATTTTATAATTAGTTATTCATTCCTTAATTAACATTAAAAGAAAACAGTCATCTATTTTTGCTATAAACTTTATCGTTATATAATTTATTATAATTTATTAAAAGTTACGAAGTTCTTATTTATTTGTAGTATTATAATATTATCATTACAATCACTACATAGTATCTTTTTTTCAAAACGAGGAAGAAACGCTGTTGCAAAGTTCTTACCGCGATTCCGTGTGAATTTTCCTCGCGATGTGGCGCGAGTAAAAATTAATTGCAAACGGTTCGCTGTTCCAATTGGACGATACGATGAAAAAAAAAGAAAAAAGAAAAACAAAAGAAGAAAAGAAAACAGAGAAACAAAAAGAGTCAATCTCGGGCAGCGAGGCAAATTTGTCAAATAAACCGATTTAATCACGCCGCCCCTTTGATCTGCCAATTCGTTTCGAGTATACACGTAACATCGTCCTCCCGCTCTCTATTCGCCGATGTTCCATTAGATCGATTAATCTCCGGCTCTCGGGGCAGGTCATCATCCGCGCGATCGAGCGAAAAAAAAAAAAAAAAAAAAAAAAAGAAAAAAAAAAAAAAAAAAGAAAAAAGGAAAAAGAAAGAAAAAAAATCACGTCACCAGACGCGTCGCCTAATCGAATTTAACGCAACCTCTACGGAAATGCACTCTTCGGAATTGCAAACGCCACGGAATGTCTGAATGTTTGTCAAATTATACGACACACGAAGTATCGCCTTTCCACCCACCCACCCACCCCCCTCCCCCTCCCATCTCCCCTAACTTTGATGATGTGTGTGATACCAGCTCACAGAAAAGAAAGTACGGATCGGTCGCGAGGCTATAGGAACACGGTGGTCCAGCCGATAGTAAGAACCTTCTTGTCCAGTGATCACGATTCGTACATACAACGATATTGCACATATATATATATATACACGCACGTCTGACACACGCACACCTACACGCACATGTTCGCCGTACACGTGTTCTGATACATACATACATCTCGTTACAAACGTACGCCGACTGCGAAGAGAGGAGACGCTGAGGAACCACAGTGGACGTCGAGACCGGATGTCGAAGCCGGCAGTCATCAGTTGCAACCTTCGTGCGGTTAATTAAACAATGTGAATTTTTCAGGGATCGGCGACGAAAGATGTTGCAACACTTAGAGAGCCGCCGCCTCCTTCTTTCCTTTCCTCTCGTTTCACCTACCTTCTCACACGGAATTGCGTGTATCTCGAGTGGTCGAAAAGATCGGAGGGACCAAATTGAAAACACGTCGATTTTCGCCTGGTCCAGACACTTCGTGTTTTGATTCTTGGTTGTTGGTCGAGAGGGGAACGAAACGAGAGGAACATCGCTAATAAATTTCGACAGATTGCTGGCCGATTATTGCAGGTGTTGCCACGGAGTCAGATAACGCCAGCCGATATCCCGATGGACGATCAAATGGTCACACGACTTCTTTATATATATATATATTTCATTTTTACCACCCTCCATCCAAAGTTCTCCATTTTCCCAGGTTACTTTACTTTCAATTGCCAGGACATTACCAGTTTCTTCGCAGATCGTTGCCGACAAGCAGCCGACATTTCCGTTCTCTCATCGCTCACCGATTGCTACCTTCTTCCCTCACTGACGTTTGTTCTTACAATTGTTAATCGCAATTTAATTTTGTCATTTAAACGAATGTGTGTCTTTCTAGGGTCACCGCCTCTCGCAACACGTTTCTCCATCTGACTCATTTTCTCCCCTGTTTTTCTTTTTCAACACTGGTGTTTCAGCTGGACTCGACTCGAGCGGTTTTCGGTTCTCGTAAAATGCAGTCTCGCCTGTTTGACCGACGAACGGCCGTATGGTGTATTTTTGTTCTTTTTTTTTTCTCTCCTTTCTTTCTTTCTTTTATTCCCCCCCGCGTGTATTCTTATTTTTCGACTGCGTTTTGTCGGATTTATCAGAAACCAGAGTATCGTTGCTCGCGCGCGATCGCGACCCGACACTATTTCTCCGTGGCTCTCTCTTTCCTTCTTTCTCTCTGTTTCTCTCTGGTTCTCTCTCACCTTCTCTCTCTTTCTCTGTATCTGTCGGTGTTTCCACGCTGAAAAACGAGATCGCGCGGGAAAGAATGGCCGATCGAATCGCGGAAAGACGGATGCGAGGCAATTACGCCCGCTCACCTCGTGAGAGCAACCCGAGAAGCGTGTCGCGTCTGCATGCGTAGCACATTAATTTACGTGTCGTTTTACGCGCGTCCCGCCACAGAGAACACGCGTGGGCCGCGGCCGTGCTGCGCGCGTTCACACACGTACGTACCGCGTGCGTGTGCACGTGCGTTGCGGACGAAACGCGCGAACGATTACAGACAAATCGCGCTTCGTCCGATTTCGACAGAAATTCGAAAATCCTCCACGCAGATTTAGACGTAAGATACGCGATGAAACTATTTGCATTCAATAGGTTTTCAAATGAAATGTTACTATTTTTTTTTTTTTTTTTGTGTACGTTACCATCGACACGAATCGACTGTGACACCGTCTGTTTTTTTTTTTTTTTTTTTTTTTTAAATTGTCAAGCTAAAGCGCATCGTCCGTAACACGTATGCACGCACGTACGTGCCATAATCTCTTTGGTTCGATATCGTTTCTTCTTTTTCTTTTATTGCATAAACAGTTGTACATAAATAACACGGTGGTGATTCAACACACGTTGTTCCAACTTGGACCATTTGAACTTAATATATATATATAGATATATACGTACATGTACTGTTATTATTATTATTATTATCATTATTATTATTATTATTATTATATACGCGACTCTGTCGTTTCTTGCCTTTAGCCTCAACTGGTCTGTTTTTCTTTTTTTGATTTTTATCTTGCCCTCTTCCGCCTGACGATGCTTCTTCATGCTTGCTGACAAAAAAAAACAAAAA